CTTGGTTGAGTTGTAGTGGGGGCCGGACGGCCCGGGCCCACAAGAAAGTCAATTTAATTAAATATTGTATATATCATTGCACACTATTATATACAATATATTAGTTAAAAAAACTTGGTTCAGGCCCAAAAGATAAGTTAGTAACATTAAATAGTATACATATTACATTACACACTATTATATATGTACTAGTTAAAAAATTTCACCTCACAGGGGCACGTGCCCCTGCGGGACCCCCCTTGGGTCCGCCCCTGACCAAGTGAACTTTGACCCCAATAATAAAGTCTCCAAAACGGCCCTACTCGGTAATGTGGATAATATATAACTAGTGTGTATCCCGTGCGATATACAGCGTGCTTGTTTCTTAAAACATTTTTTAAAACTTTATTTTAATAGTATGTTAGCTTGCTAGCCGTTTATATTAATAAAACTATTGTAACAAATACTATTTTAACATCTATATTTACTGATATAGACAAAATTATATTTTTACTTATTTTTGTTCATCATAATACTCCACTATTATATTTTTAAATTTATTATCGTATAATGACATTATTATTATTATTATTATTATTATTATTATTATTATTATTATTATTATTATTATTATTATTATTATTTATAACACTTATAAAAGTATGATTCTTTAAATATTATATAATGATATAAACTTAATATACATTAATATTATTTAGTTATGTAATTCATTTAAAAATATTTAAATAATTTCAAAATAAATGTTGTGTCATATATGTATTCTATTCATTTTTAAAATTTTTCTATCTCATAATAATATTTATTCAGTTATTATTATTAACTTATCTATAGATATATTTTTTAAAGCATGGTATGTAATCATAAATGTTTTAGTTAAAATGTATCTATTTTATTGTTAAATCTAATGTGCACAAAATAAAAATGTAAAGGATTGACATATTATTTTATTGTAATTACTTATACGTAGATTAAAAAAGTTTTTGGAATGTTTCAAAACTTAACTACTTGATGAAATATTTTATTTAAAACAATATAGGCATTTAATCATATAATTTATTTGCTACGTTTATGGTTTGTAATAATCCTATAATTCCAAATTCTTTCTTTTTTAGTTTATTAATTTGGTTCTAAATTTTTGTAAAGATTGATGAATGTTTTAATTTGTATATAATAAATGTTAAAATGGAAATAGGAAAAAAAAAATCCAACATCTTAAGAAATAAAATTTAAAAGTAAAAAAAAAACGTAATATTGGAAAAGGAAAAAAAGAATGTATGAAAAAAGATTGTCATGAAAAATTTAGAATAGAATACTCAACAATTTATTTTACTTTTATAATTGTTAATAGTTCTAAATATCTAGTTAATGATATTAAAATCAAATCAGAATAATACCTACACACACACACACACATAAAAAAAAAAACGAGGATGGAATTGAGATAGATATGGACATCAAGATAAGATGAAATGCATATCTATTAAAAAAATTGTTGATGTTCGTTTAAAAAAATTCTAAATATTTAAAAAAAAATCATGGGCGACAGAAACATAAAATTCAATAAACAATTCTATTAGTAGGAAAAAACGAAAATATGAGCCGAAATCTTCATCTTTTATTTTATGTTTTTCCTTATTGCTATTATATCCCCCTTATATATAATTCCCGAATGCGCTGAGCCTACATGGCTGCTTCTGGTGCTTCGAAATCCTACTTGGCGAAGAATCATGGTTCGTAATTAGGTTTGGACAAATAATGTTGATAGATTAATAATTAATAATCTAGGTTCGGACATTCCATAAATATTATTTAACTAACTTAGGTATTTTAATATCACTTGTACTAATATAACCCTTTAATTCTTTGTAATTTTACGTAGTGAGACACTAAGTGACTAATATAACCCTGACTTTTGATTTATTTCCTTCAATTAGCTATTGAATTATAAATATATTTTAAAAGTTGATAACTTTTGTATTTCTTATCGGTTTTACATATATAATATATCAAATTAATCATCTTTTCATGATCTTCGATTTGACATTCATATTGTATATATAAAATAAATAAATTATATTTATCTTTATAATAATAAAAAATAATAGTATTTATTAAAATTTATTTGAAAATCAAATTATTTCCCAGTTGATATATATATGTTTAATGTAGTAATATGTTGTAAGCTAAAAAAATTATTATAATATAAGACAAGTAAGTCACACAAATAAAAAGTGTCATACTAGATATATAATAATATATATTTTAATAAAAATTATTTAAATTTTCAGCTACTTTTTCTCATTAATTTTATATTTTAAAGAACAAAATTAGCAAGCACCCGTGTAATACACGGACGTTGTACTAGTAATAATAGATATGAAAACAATACATATCATAATAACTTGAATTATATATTCTTAAGGATGTGAGTATATAATATACAAATATTATATATGCTTAAATATCTTATGCTAAAAGAGTGTAAGTTTATTTTATGTTTACAATTAAAATGTTAATTGTTTAATTATATATAAAAATAAATTACATAAATAATTGAATATAAAATGTAGCAATATGGATGGTCATATTTACAAAACACATGCAAATAATAGTATATGAAAATATTATTAAGTTAATTAGAATATAGAATATATAATAGTATCTAAATGATCTATTTACATATTAAAATAAAACAAATAAATAATCTATCAAAATATACTAGTGTTGATACCCGTGCGATGCACGGGGTGCAATACACAAAATTATTTTTTATTTAAAAATTATAAAATTATTTAAGATAATATGAAATTATATTCTCAACAATATTCTATTCAGAAATAATATGACATTTAGTTATTCACTATTATTAGTAATTTCTATTTTTATATATTTATTTGTAGTTGTTGACTATTTAATATATAAATTTCATTATTTATAAGTTTATAAAATATTATAAATGTATAAGATCATATGATATTTGCATACAAATTACTTGTATGTACTTACAAAATTGTCGTTCATCATAGACTTATAATTTTTTAACAATTAATAATTTGCACATTGCTTGATAATTGACCAATGTTTAACTCGTAATATTTATCGTCCGCTATAATTATTAAGTTCAATAAATGTTAAAAACTTTGATAAATAAATTTTAACTTTTAGTAACTTTAATCCTTATGCAACACACGAATTTTTTATGGTTAAATATTTTATTTTTATGTTTTCATTTTTTATTTATATTTAATACTTTAGTTCATTTTTTCAACCTGTGTATGAGTTACATAGTATCTATTTGAATATTTAGATATATTATATATTTCTATTATTTCCAAGTGCTATAATTTAAATTATTATACATTGCTTTTTTATTACTTATTTTTCATTTATAAAATATAATATGAGAAAAAAAAATATATTTTTAAAAATAAATAGTTTTTTTTGTGTACATAGATACTTCTAAAGTGAAATTTATAATCCTGAATTGCACCCGACCATCGAATTTTATTTTTATTAGTATATCATTTAAATTTTCTTTTTTTTTTTCGTCCAAAACAAAAAAAAAGAAAATTTAAATGATAACCTAATAAAAATAAAAGTATAATAGCACTGAATATGTTGTATTCAATTGTATGTGCCTTTTTATAGTTAAATTGACTACATTTTAGAAACTTTTATTATTATTTTAAATTATATATTAAGTTATTATGATTTAAACATACTTACTCTGATTATTTTATTAAATATTTTAAGTACTTCTGAATATTGAATATAATAATTAATTAAATTAAATACCTACAAACCATAGATGATAATATATTTAATCAAATCAATTTTCATAATGATTTTTTAAATTGAGTAAGTAAACTACTATTAAATTAATATATTATCTTATTGAAAATATATCTAATTAATCCATGGTTAAAATTTCAATTTAATCCAATTTGTAGTTAATAAGTAATGATCATTGAGTTTATAAAGATTAATTATATTTTTTATGTATAAGATTTGCTAATAAATAAATATTAGTAAATACCAAATATAGACGAAAAAGTTTCCCCCTCAAAATCATGCCAATTATGACAATAAGGATTGATCTAGATAACAACAATATTATAATTACAAACATATTAATATACAAACATACTTTATATCTACATATTTTCATCATATTAATAAGCACTCACTATATTAGATACCGGAGAATGCTACCATCCCGTTATGGTATGGTTCCGTTGTGTTTTCTAGCCATAGATATACATGTAATCTAGTGATGGGTAGTTAATCCAACGCTTAAAAACACAACGGAACCATCCCATAACGGGATGGTAGCATTCTCCATTAGATACCTTTACCAAATTTCCACTTGCCCCTCCTTTTTGCCCCCATCCCACCTATACATACACCCATCCTTGTAAGTATCACCTTCATACCCCAAGCGCTCGCCGATCGGAGTTCTCACGGCTGGTTTTCCGTCCCTTTCCATTGCTTTCTCCGTCGATTTTTTATTCTCCTCTGCAATTTTTTCGAGGAAAATTAGGCGCAGAAGTTATTACATACATAACATACATAAAAGGAGGCATATATGGGCAACATCGGGAGCAGCGGCGTCCACGGCCGGAGGAGGAGCTCGAGCCGCCGGAGCCACGACAACCCTCACCCTCCCCCGCCCCCTCCGCAGGCTCCGCAGCCGGAGATCGCCGCCAACCGATACGTGTTCGCGGCGGCGACGCCGTATCCCCAGTCGCAGTACCCCAACCCCGGCGCACCGCCGCCGTACTACCAGTTCCCCGGGTACTACCCGCCCCCCACGGCGATTCCGACGCCGCTCCCCGCCCCTTACGACCACCGTCACCCTCCGGGGGCGGTGCACGCGACCTGGGGCAACGGGCGGTACCCCTACGGACCGATGGCGCAGCCACCGGCCCCTCCGCCGCCACCGTACGTGGAGCACCAGAAGGCGGTCACGATCCGGAACGACGTTAATCTGAAGAAGGAGACGCTGAGGATCGAGCCCGATGAGGCGAATCCGGGGAAGTATCTGGTCGCGTTCACGTTCGACGCCACGGTGGCCGGAAGGTAAATTCAGGGGTTTGCAATTTGGTCTTGTTTTTGTTCATAGGATAGTGTAAACTGCAATTGTTATGCTGATGGTATGTAAAATCTTGTTTCTGTTCATAGGATAATTTACACTGCAATTGTTATGTTGATGGTATGTAAAATCTTTGTGCAATTTTGGTAATGAATTTTCTGCAGTTAGACTTGTTCTGTGATGTACTCCATACCTGAATTTGCTTGAGCTAGTTGATGAATTTCCTGTATTTTGTTTGTTCTATAATGTACTCTACCTTTCAGGATTAGCTCGAGCTTGCTCCAGCTTTTGTATAAGCAGGGCCTACAAGTTTGTAATTAGGTTGTGGAGTTCTTATGATCAATTGTTTAAGTCGACCAATCTCTGCCTTTGCTCAATAAGAATCTTGATGAAGCGTAACTTAGTTAAGAAAACAACTATTTGTTAGGTATAATTGCAGAAGTTCATATGGTGGGTACATTAACGACACATAATGTCATTTTCCATTCATGCTTCGATTGATTGCAATTCTGTTTTCAGCTGTTCATTGCAGTTGTTCTCAATGATTATTGCTATTCGCTTCTTTATGAGTAATTCCATTTCCAATTTCACCTTGTTACGTGCAGTATTACAGTAATTTTCTTTGCCAAGGAGGGTGAAGATTGTTGCCTGACCCCAATGAAAGAAACCCTACACCCACCCATTACAGTGCAGTTTCAACAAGGCTTAGCCCAGAAGTTCAAGCAGCCATCAGGAACTGGGATAGACTTTTCAATGTTTGAAGAGGGAGAGCTTTCGAAAGACCTGGACATGGATATTTACCCGCTTGCAGTAAAGGCAGAGGCTTCTACCGAAACCCAATGTGGGAACTCGGATGATGGAGGCTCGACAAACTCACAGATAACACAGGCCGTGTTTGAGAAGGACAAAGGAGAGTACCATGTTCGTGTGGTGAAGCAGATATTGTGGGTGAACGACATGAGGTACGAGCTGCAGGAGATTTACGGGATTGGGAACTCGGTCGAGGGGGAGTTTGATGCGAATGATCCTGGGAAAGAGTGCGTAATTTGCCTTTCTGAACCGCGGGACACTACTGTTCTCCCGTGTCGCCACATGGTACTCTCTCGTTTAAGCTCACTCTCTAATGTTTCTATGAGAAAAAAAAGAAAGAGAGAAAAAGAAAAAGAAAAAAGAATGATGTATTAAATTACAAATATCCCTACAAAAATGCACTCTAAGGCCTCGTTTACTTAAGTTGATTGGATAGGATATGGTTGGATAACTCTTGTTATCCAACATTTACTAACCATTATGGGATTGGAGAATATGCTGTGGGTCCCACACTTGTATGTGCGATTGGCAAGACTATTTTGCCCGGTCTTGAGGGTGGGACATTTTTAATCCCAACTTAGAAATGACCATTTTGTCCAAAAATTGGAATGTGAAATATCACTTTTACCCTTAGAAACCCACCAAATACATATCTAGGTCATATAAGTATATTTTGCTGCCACATCATATTTTGCTTTTTATCCTTTAGCAAACACCTGGACACAAGCTGACGTGTAAAGTTGATGGGATTAAACTGTCCAATCCCATCATTTTAAGTAAACGAGGCCTTTTAGGATTCATTTTCTATCGCCATAGTTGATTCGAACCCATTTGTTATAGTGTGTGGTTTCAAGTACAATTGTTTTCTCTCTTCTTCTTCTTCTTGGTAGATGCTGCAAATTGACTTTATAGTTTAGTACATCTGTGAGGTTCTTTTTGGCAGTTCTGTACAATGACGTCAATTACTTTATTTCGGTGCAGTGTATGTGCAGCGAATGTGCAAAAGTCTTGAGGTTCCAAACGAACAGGTGCCCGATCTGCAGACAGCCGGTCGAGCGCCTTCTAGAAATCAAGGTTAGCAGCGGTGGGACCGAAAACGAGGAAAACTAATCTGTGTGATGATGATGCCTCCAATTCTGTAAAGTTTTTGTTTGATTTTTATTTTCCTCTTTTTATTCCCCCCTTTATGTACTATGCTTTTGTTTGTGTTTTTCTTCTTCCTGGGCTTAGACTCTTAAAACTTTACAGTGCACTTTGATTTTAATAATCAAGTAGATTGGATGGAAGCCTCATTGGCAGGCAAAATGCTGTCTGTTGTACACTATATAATATGGTCTTAGTTTGTTTTGAGCTTATGTAACTTATTGTTATCCTTCAAAAGAATGTTTTTTTTCTTATAAGAACACAATAGTGTTACTTTTTGTTCTTTGCCTCCTTTTTTCTATAGTACTCTACATAGAATGTGTGTCTTCTTTTGTGCTTACATTATTCCTCTTTATGATTCCGCAAATTTAATGGAAAGATCTTATTTGCTAGTTGTGTTTTGAGTAACTAAAACAATACGCCTAGTTATATAGACAGTTGTGCAAAATGGTGTGATGGCACACTTTTGAAAAATTTAAGCCTTTTAAGTGAATAATTATTATTATTATTGGAGATGCGACGGTCGTAACCCGTTACGGAATCATTATATAATCGTTAGATCAACTATCCCCAACAGTTACATGATGATCTAACGGTTACAAATTCGGGTTACGGAACCATTATATAATCGTTAGATCAACTATCCCCCACAGTTACATGATGATCTAACAGTTACAAATCCTGACGAAATGATTCCGTAACAATACCGTAGCATTTCCCTATTATTAGTAATGTGACATACAACAATTAATATGGTTGTTTACATTTACAAAGCTTAATTTAAACAAGAACAGATTGCAAACAACAAAATAAACGTAGTTATAATTTCAAAACATGAGGCAAAATCCAAAGTAAAAAATAAAATAAAAATAATGAATAAGAAAATTTGCATCTCATTATAATTTATAACTATTTTTTTCATGGATATTCAAAACCAACTACATATTTCCCCGACTATAAACTGTTTTGCCAACCACTCAAACCTCGACCACTGTCACCTTCGGTTTTTCCATCACGCCCGAACAACTCGACGAAGAATCGGGCCAGACGGGCCCAATCTCATCAAAACCGGGCCTCTTCCAAATCTTGATGTGGCCCTCACGGCAAACTGTCAGCACAAACTCCCGAGCGAACACCAAACCCGAGAGGGGCTCCGTGTGGGCCCGGTGGGCCACCAACGGGGGCAGCTTGGGGACTTCCCTTGTGCTTGGGGCAGCTTTTAAGGTTCCAATAGGGCAGGCATTGTCCCAATGGGCCGACTGATGGGCCTCGGTGCTATAAGTGGGTGACCCACCTGGGGCCCGACGGACCGGGACCATGAGCTCGTCCATTTCAAGGTCCCATAGAAGGAGCTGTGCATCCTGAAAGATATTTAACCCATCTTTAATCAATATATAGATGACTATTTGTTCAAAAGACAGTAAGGATGCATAATGTTTTACCTGACCCACTGAACCAAAACGGTAGATAATGTTTTCTTGTGTGCCATCTGCATTCGGAGCTGACCAATAAGGGTCGAAGGCAACTCCACTAACCTGCACCGTCATGTACCAGATTTTACGAATTTGTTCTTAAACATATGGAAGTTTACCATCACAAATTACAAGTATAAACCAATTGATATATGTCAGTCGAATGGACTAACAGTTTCAAAGCCTTTCATGAAGAAGGGAAAGAGAAAAAAAAA